GCATTAAATGTAGTGTATACAGACATTTCCTAAAACACTGTGTATGTAGTTATTATTATTGTGTATGAACTCATGAAAGAGTCAGTCATTTTAATTGGTGACTAAAAGCGTATTGCGATGTTCTGCAGCCAGGGCGTTCTGTTTTCTCCTTCCTTTGTAAGTGTTTAAGACGTTTCTTTCTGTGAATCTTTACAAGTGACAACAGACCCTGTGGGTGGCAATAATAAATACACCAAGAACAAAAATCCATCCACCCACACGGCCAAAGTTGGTCCCCATTACCACTGTACTGTGGAAGGTCCCTAATTAAATTAAACACAAACTCGTTTCAGGTTTTATGAGGTTTACCAAACTAATAAATATTCATTGTTACATTAAAGTTATATGGCGCTTCTTTACAAACTTTCTACAATTGAGGCCAGAAACAAGTAACAACAACAACAATTCACAATGTGTAATGTTGTGAAAGGGATATATACGTACATATTAATATAGTATCAACACAGTATTATACTGAGTGGAGATTTATTTTTGTTTAAACATTTTCAACCTTTCACTGACAGCAATCCAAGAGGTTCTTTCCTCACTTACCTATAAGATTTAAACTTGACTATAAAATATAACTGGGATAATGTTTTATTTGACATGCTTTTAAATTAAATTAAAGCTTGAAATGAGAAAGAAATATTACCTTCACACATGAAGAATTTGGACTCTCCGAGGCTAATCTCACCATGACTGGGTACAATCTGCACATTGAGTGACACTAGAGCAGAGAAAAACAAACACACAATTTATTAAACAATGTAAAAGGTAATGACAACAAACATGACTGTGGACTTTCAGGTGCACAGCAGAGTCTCTGATAGTGTGACTGATCTGGAAATCCTCATTTTAGAGTAATCTTCTAATAATAGTATCATCTAATCATAGGCTAAATTAATAAAATGAAACATTTCAACAACTTCCACTGAATTTTTTTGTTTCTTTTGATTTTCAACATTTGGAGTAACATTCCAGTATTGTTACTAAGGTGAAACGCGATGATAGAATTATAATGTGGAAATTGTATAGAAAATTCTTGACTGATTAAGTCTTAGACCCAAAACCTTTGGACCTTTGACACTTTGTTGGCATTTCTTAATTCAAACCCTGGATGCTTGGATCAGCCTGAACATTTTCATCTTTGACTTGGACTCTCACCCCAACAACCAGGTCTTCAACCTCCACTGAACTCCTTTTGATGCTCAACTTAGCTCAAACTCAGTCATAACACACTGGACTTGAAGTCAAATCCAAGATCCTCTCTACCAGTATTTGCAGACCAAATTACTGGTCTATTAATTCAGAAAACAACCATCATATTTACCAATTATGAAAACCTCATAATTTCATATTTTGGACAGACAGATGTTTTGACATAAAAGCTGACCTGTCTATTTGTTCAGAATGTTAAATAAAAGTGACACCTTAAAATAAAATAAGGTAAAAAATACCTGTATTTACAGTTCACAGCGTTAATTACCAATGGTTCATTTAATTACACAAATGACACAACCATTCAGAAACTCCTCACACAGTCTCTAGTGTTTATTTCAGTGTTTCCCCTTTGAAAAAGAAATCATGAACACGTTTTAATTTATTTTCATTATTAAATTATTAAAACTAAGCTTCATTGTTGCCAATAGAATCAACCAGAAGTCAATGGTAATTAGAAACATTAAAAAATGGTGCCTAAGAATCTGTTGATATCCATGATATCTTAAAGCAGAAAAGTGCACTCTGTGTAATTGACACTATAGAAATAAACAAACACAGCAGGTCCTTAAATGGTTCGAGTCATGAACCAAATGATTGACGAACTCATGTTGCAGCTGGAAAACATTTCTCACAGTCATATTGATATTCTGTCCTTTGACGTCTGTTTCCCTCAACACTTGATTAAGTCTGGCATCTCAGAGGTATAAAACATTCAATGAACCTTCACACATAGAGAGCACAGCTCTCTCTTCACTTAGAGATTTTATAAACACCTACATTAAGACCTGTCTTTATAACTCCTTGTATGACTTTATTGAGCGAAGTATCCTAGAATGTGTCAAAAACATTTCCGCCCGTCTCTAAAAGAATAAACCTAATGCCTCAAAGTGATGGAGATGATGAATTATATAAAACACAACCATTGCATCTCATCTTACCATTCTATTTTTCCCTGATAAATACAGACACTGCTTTGGTGTCAAAGCATAATTCCTTCATCACTAATGATTTACAGTGTTCTAAAATTAGAAACTACGTGGCTTTCCTTTTGGATACTTATAAAATAATAAAAAATAAAAAATGATGCAGTAAATAATATGTACATAAAAAGAGCTATTTTCATCCTGACAACCATTCACTCACGGTGTAGTCATCAAACATTAGTCCTTCAGAATCCTAGCAAATCCTGGTGTACTACCATATGGCTCCTGCTACTGCAATCTATTCAAACCATAAATAAAGCAGAATCATGCAAATAAAATTATTTTGCCCAATTGATTTTACCCTGTTTATTCTCCATCATAACATTCTTTAATCTTCAGTAATAAATGAGCTTTTGTTTGATTTTTTTAACCAAACCCATCAGGTTAAGTTTGAATCCAAAGAGAGGAGCCTTGCATAATGACAGCTCATTATGATGTAAGATTCACTGCAGCTATCGGCAATGTCGTGTCTGGATGAAGGCAGTTTGTGACTATAGCAGACAGATTGATTAACAAATAAGACCCGCAACATATTTGAACATAACTACCGGTATGTTATAGTCTGAACCATGGAAAATGAAGTTAGAATTAAAGGAATATTTCGATGATTTAGCCTTGTGGACAACAACCCCAACATTAAAAAAGTCAAAATGTATAACTGCTGTTTTAAGAGCAAGATTCCTCCTCTTTCAGTTGTTGCCTTCAGGGAACGCCAAACTGGATTATGGGTAAACAGACCAAGGTCACTGTCTTCTTTTATTTAGCCTGACAGCCATTTGATCATCCAATTATATACAGTAGGAGTGACAACTTCATTTCTATAGTTTTACTATACAGATATTTGAATCGGAGAGAAAGAACTGTCTGTCCTAGTTTACAAAGAATCCTTATTTTTACTTGTAAACAGATTTTTTTTATCTTTTCAAAAATAATTCAGGTTGATCTATTTTCTTTTCTATCAATTATTTCTCAATTACCCACTACTTGGTTTTGCACTAATAAAATGTAACACATCTGGTTAACACTGTAGCATGTAGCATCTTACTTTTCAATGTGCAAGATGATGGTGATTTCCAAGACCCCCTGAAACTCCCTATCACACTAAAACCTACAACAATATCTATATTTTTTATTTTTTTAACAGAAGACTGTTTACAATGTGATGCCACACACCAACAGAGACGAAGCAGAAGCGCTCACTTTTCATTAGTTTTAAGAAACATACTTATTTTTGCTTGCTGCTCATATCTCTCAAACAGTTATACTCACGTCTACTAGTTGCTATGGAAACATATTTCCCCGCTCCCATTTCCCTGTTTTTGACATCACCGCGTCTGCCCCCGCTGTCCTCCTCTACCTCATTCTCCGTCTCTCTCTTACGGCTGTCTGATTGGATCGAGCAGCGGTGCCTCACTGAAGTGACTTTATACGGTGATTAAGTCTTCAAAAGTTTTTTTTTTTTTCATTTATCTGTGACTCAACCATTCTTAGCACAATGTTCCCCATTTTAGCAGAAACAATATTTCCAAGCTACTGAGTAATTCTATGTAACAATGTATGATGGATAAAGGACTGTTTGAACAAGCCTGTGCTACAGTAGTATGACCAAACCACAACAAACTCTCAAGTGAAATATTTCAATCCCAGGGAAGCCATGGCCTGAAGAGGAAGGGTTAAAATGAACTCCAGAATAGGTGTCTGGCTCTCTGAGCTACAAGTCTCATCTCTCATCAGTGCACTCCACAACACAATTTGACTTCATTCAGGTAATTTAATGTGAGTGCACTTCAGCTGCACCGTCAGCTTGGGACTGTACAAAACAAAAGCTCAGGCAACCAGAGAGCTCTCTGTGCCTCATTCATTAGCCCATTCTGTTGGGTGTGCTTCTCTAATGAGTATGCAACGAGTGTCATGTAAAAGGTGATTTCAAAATGGTGCTGGTGGAAAAAACTAACCTATAACAATATAATATGTTATATATATTCCAAAAAATAATTTATGTTCCTTATTCAACCTTCTTTTCCCCCTAAGCGTAACACAGGCCACTGCTGAGGCGAACGTGAACTGTAAGGAAAAACATGGGGTACTACATGTACTACTACAAACACTAAAACAGAGACAAAGAGCAAAAGTGAAACATTGGTGTTTACAGAAATATGAGTATAATGTATCTGTAACTAATAATTTGTCAACAAAGGCGCAAAAGAGAGAGATTATGCAAAGAGGGAGAGCCACAAGGACCACTCAACCACAAGCTGCCTGGGACCGCACAAAACCTTGACAACTGGCACATGCACACAGCGCTCTCTGTGTGTCCTTTTTTGAAAGGGCTAGACGAATTAGGACGGGCCGGATAAGCCCGCCTGTGACTCCAGAAGGAAGCGGATCGATAGGAGGGAATGCACATTTCAGCTGCAGCCAGACAGAGGCAGGGGCAGGGCAGAGAGGCAGAGCAGCACTTGAGTACTCATTATAGCGTTTAGAGCGACAGTGTGTGTGTGTGTGTGTGTGTGTGCTGCTTACTTCTGCAGGCATTTATGAATGGACAAAGACCATGCAGACCCATTACAGATTCAGACAGTCCAGCACGCAGTAATTAGATGAAAGCCCGACGGAAAACTAATCGTGCCATGAGCATATCTTTGCCAAGGTTACCGATCTGAGGGGAAAAACTGTTATTATGTCAGTTTTAGGCACAGAAAAAAAGCTATCAGTTTTCACCAAGGACATTTTTTTTCTTCCATCTCTCCCAGGCGTGAAAACAGTTGGCTGAAGATGAGCAGTTGGAGAAAACCTGCAAGTAGTCAATCACACACTGACGTTACACCTCCTCCTTGTACTAACAGAGTCTGGAATTAACACCTGCCAAGTATCAACCTGCCAATAAAATCCATCTTTGCCCATAAATAAACAAAGTCATACACCAGATACAGGGATGATACCACACCAGTATTCTTCCTGTACCTACGAGCTTTATGTGAAAAGGCTTTTCTCTGCCTTACAGCTGATCTCAACCATCCTTTTTGTAGCAGAGTAAATGATTTATTACTGCACTTGTGAGAAAGATTAACTTCTAGGTCAACTCTATGAAATCTCCTGCTTTCAGAAGAAATTGTGACATAAAACAACACAAATAGCAATTTGGATCATTTGACAGTTGAGGATTTCACATGTCTTGATGCGAGACAAGTTAAAAACAACTTCCTCAAAACATCAATAAAAGGGTGTAGTTTGATACTTTACGTTTATTTACAGACCTTAAGGTAAAAAAAAACTGAATACATTTCAATAATACTAAACTGTATTTCATATAAAAGAGCAAATAGAAGTGATTATTCGAAAACTACCAGGCAGACTAATGTTAATAAAAAATGTGAATAAAAAAAAAAAGTTTTATTTCTTCTGTGCAGCCCAGTGTCACATGTTCCATGGCTTTGTATTGGTCCATCATTCGTTGGGAGATTGACAGCTGTCTGTTCAGTGAATAGACTGCTATGCGTGTAAACCTCAGTACATTTATGAT